ATTGACTATTATAGCGTCTTTAATGCTGTTTTCTCAATCCTGACACGAGTTTAAAATTCTTTCATTGCTGATATTGTTTTTGAAATTTTTTTTTCGATGAAATATTGTCATCATATATCCATACAAGTATTCCAATCATTTGACATTCATATTTTTTTTATGATTTCAAAATTTTGTCTAAAAAATGGTACAATTTATAAATTGAGAAATTCAGGTTATTTTCCATTTTTGCTAGATGTTTGGTTCTGCAAAAAAAAATGGCTCCACCGATTTTCCTGAAAACTTTTTCAGTTTTAAGTTACGTAATTACGCGTCGAATGCAATTGGTCCCACATCGATATCATTTTTTGTTCTCGAGATAATCGAGGCGAAAAATAATTCCGAACGTACTTACGCACATATGCACATACGCACACGCGTACATACACACACACAGACGTCCACGTAAAAACTGTCGATTCATTCTAGAATAGGCTTTCGAATTGATTCATTATTAACTTTTTTTTAGCAAAAGAAAAAATTACTCGTTAAAAGGATTCAAATATATTGCATAGATCTCTATTTTCATTGTTTGTAACAGATTTAATTGTTATAAACAAAAAGGAAAAGTTTCCATTCATTTCGTACGGTTGGTAACTTTTTTTTAGCAAAAAAAAATTACGCGTTAAAAGAATTCAAATATATTGCATAGATCTCTATTTTTATTGTTTATAACAATTAAAAAATTTTTTATTTAAATATTATTATAATCGATAATCATTTTTTATTAACAATGTTCAATCGTTATGAACACAATTTCTTATTATTAACAATAATCATTGACTATTTTATTATCCCCAACGCTGTTTTCTCTATCCTAACACAAGTTTAAAATTTTTTTATTGCTGATTTCGTTTTTTAAAAATTTTTTTTTATAAAATACTGTCATCATATTTTTGTACAATTATTCTAAACATTTGATATCCATATTTTTTAAAAGATCTCGAAATTCCGTCTAAAAAATGGTATAATTTATAAATTGCAGAATTTAGGTAGTTCACTATTTTTTCATTTTTTCTATTCTGCATAAAAAATGGCTAGACCGATTTTGCTGAAAATCTAAACAGTTATAAGTTACGTAATTACGCGTCGAATGCAGTTGTTCCCACGTCGATATCATTTTTTGTTCTGTTTGAGATAATCGAGGCGAAAAATAATTCCGAACGCACGTACGCACATATGCACATACGCACACGCGTACATACACACACACAGACGTCTACGTGAAAACTATCGTATTCAACTCTGGGGACTTTAAAACGTGGAGATATGTAAAAATTAGCGATTCGCAAAATCGGACCCATTACTATAACTTTCCACTGAGAAGTTAAAAATAGAGTAATATCAAAATTTACGTACATTGTTGGCAAAATTTATTGGCAAAATAGTTTATTAGAATGCTCCATACAAATTATACAATTTTGATGTTCACGCACGCTTTATATTACAAGATATAGAAGAATGAATCCAGGTTTGACACTGGATTCCGCGAGATAAATTCGAGTCACAACATATTTTATAAAACAATCTCGAAATGCAAATCTTTGTGATCGTTAGTGCTATTAAGTATTTGATTACTCAATTAAAATTAGTATGGATGCCAAACGCGATCTAGAGTGTAGACTTTACGTTCCTGGCTAGCAAAATATATATATAAAATCTCCTACCGTGCTTATCTGCCTTTTGGGTTATCTTTTACGTTAACCGTTTTACTTGATGACTTGAGTAGCGGCGGTGATCCAAGAAAAAGAAATAAAGATGCTGCCCAAGCTTGTACTTCCTCCAAAAAATGTGATTTATCGGAGTCACCAATCTTGGTTCCTTTTCGGAGCAGTGCGACAGTAGGGAGACAGTTAATGTGCTTTGTTCGGCGTCCCAGACGAAGAATGAGAAGATGGTGTCATGAAAGCTTGACCATGGGTCAAGCGACACCTAGGAATAATTAGAAATTGGGGAAACGCCCCCTATAGATTATAAGCTAGTAATCACACATTTCTATATCACATTATGGTTTTGAAAATCCCAAGACACTAGTCATTCATTATCACACAGAATACATGTTTAGAATCAATTAATTTATTACAAAATTTCGTTATATCAATCACCATTCTGATAATATATGTCAACTCGGTATGAATATAAAGGTGAGTGGATCCAATGGCCAAAATGTCGACTGCTGAAGACACTAGACCTCAGAATCACTCCCAATACCTCCTTGAACTAGCTCTATTATAGGTACCAATTATAGCATTATTTTCACACGCCTTAAGAACATAAGTATTAGGTCCTAATTTTCTATGAACTAAATAGGGTCCTTCAAGCAAATGAAAAAACTTGTGGGTTACACGATCAGTGTTGCTTGATAAGTGTGGTACATTCAAGAGAACTTTATTACCTTCGTCAATAATAATCCGAGTCTTAGATTTTTGACTCTTTGCTCTTTGTTGAAATTTCTTAATTATCATCTCTTTGGCATGATGCAACTGGATAGCACGATCGATAGGAAGAGACTGTGGATAACTTAACAGATCTCTAAGTTTATCTTGAACCCGTTCACCATAATGCAATTCGAAAGGAATCTCATTGGTACTGCAATGAGTCGTATAGTTTAAAAATGTTTCTATCATTTTAATGCTTTTAGCCCAGCATATATGCCGGTCATGGCAGTATGTACGAAAGAAACACCCAAACTCCCGCATTACCCTCTTAGTTGGATTAGATTGTGGATGCCTGATCGACGAGAAAGTGACTTGTATACCTAGCTGTTCTAAAGTTATCCTTCACAAATGTGATGTAAATTGTGTTCCATTATCACACAATATACGTGAGGGTTGACCATGTGCAGGAATATATTTATTAATAATCTTAGTAAGCGTAGCCTTGGTCGTAGCCCTCTCCATCGGGTAGAGAGAAACCAACTTGGAAAACGCATCGAGTACTACGAGTATATATTGGATACATCCTACTGACTTCGGCACGGGTCTATAAAAATCTACTGTAACGAGGTCCCCAGGTCTATCGGCTCTTACAAGTTGGAACTCCCCTTCTGATGGTTGAGAAGAATGTTTAGTCCTTTGACATAGATCACAACGAGATACAACTCTTTCAACATCCCTAACCATGTCCTTCCAATAGAAATAACGTCGAAGGTGACACAGCGTCTTATGAATACCTGGATGACCCATACGTCCATGCTCATGAATAATTACTTGTTCATTAAGAATCTTGGGCATCATTAGACACCAATGATTCGCATTTGTGGGACGATAAAACCATGTATCTTTGTAGAGCTGAGACCCACCACTATTTACATTAACTTGAGCTAGCTTAATCAAAGCAACATCCTTTTTTTGTTCATCCCCAATATTTTTTAGCAAGGTTTTGAAATCTGCTTCTAACTCAAGCCAACTAATCAAGACTAAGGCATCCTGATCATTATTTTCAGGTTCAACATTTTTTATGACTGAAGCTACTACGATAGTTTGTGGCTCACGAACACCAAATTTACCCTCCGAATTTCTACTAAAGAAATCGGCTGCAATATTATCTTTACCTTTGCAGTACTGAATGTCGAAGTCAAATTCCTGAACAAGCAAAGCCCAACGACTAAGTCTAGCTGTTAGAAACTGAGTTGAATGTGGAAAGGTTAGAGCTTCATGGTCTGTCAGAACGAAAAACTTATAACCTAACAGAAAAACTCTTAATTTATCCAACCCATACACTATTGCCAATAACTCCTTTTCGGTCGTGATGTAATTAATCTCAGCTGACTGCAAGCATCGGCTTACCATAGCAATTACCTTCGGACTGTCTTCAAAATTTTGATACAATAACGCGCTGATACCATGATCCGAAGCATCAGTTTTTACAACTATCCTGTTATTGTGATCATAAAAACCTAACTCATTTAGATCACAGAAGTTAGATTTTAATTTTTTGAACGAGTCCTCATGAGTCTGAGTCCACTCCCAGGTCGTTTCTTTCCTTAACAAGTCTCTGAAAGGCTCAACATAGGTGGAATACCTAATAGTAAATTGTCTGTAATACACATTCCTAAGAAGCTTTGTAGTTGCTCTTTATTTTTAGGGGACTGAAACTCTCTAATTACTTTTAACCGAGTAGGATGAGGTTGGATCCCTGACTGACTAATAACAAAACCCAGAAATGGTACTTCACCACGACAAAATAACGCCTTATCCAACCTCAGAGTGAAATTATGATTGGCAAGACATTCAAATACTTGTTCCAAGTGACTAAGATGTTCATCAAAACTCCCTGAGGCAATAAACATATCATCAACATAACAGCGAAGGAAACCAGTCATGCTATGCCCCAATGCCATACTCAGAGCTCGTATAAAACCACTACCGGCAGTTTTTAACCCAAATGAAATGCGGCAGAACTGATATAAATTACCATCAAACAAGAAAGCAGTATAGGGTCGCGAATCAAGATGCAAAGGTACTTGCCAATAACTATGAGTAAGGTCAAGTGTTGTCATATAAGGTTTACCTAAAGATTCTTGCGTAAGTTCTAGAATTGAAGGTGGACTTTCATTATCACCTTCTATAATTGCATTAAGGTATCGAGCATCAAGACACTTTCGTACTGATCCATTTTTCTTAATTACAATCCTTAATGGATTACAATAAGGACTGACCGACCTTTCAATTATACAGTCAAACTCCTGTAATTCGAACTCCTCTAATCTGTCCTTCCCCTAAGTAGGCGGAGTTTTATATTCTCCCTCCTAATTATTTCCCCTTCGGCGCATCGCGAAATATGCGCAAAAAGAAAGAGACATTTACTCTATTTAGGTTATGGAATAAAATATAGATTGAATCGTAGCCTTAGATTAAGTTAAGATAAGTTAATAGTAACAATTAATTATTATCGAGTTAATTAGAAAGTTTAAAGTTAATATTTATTATTATTTATCAAAGTTTACTTTTGCCAAAAAAATGTCTTGTGATAGTAGCCTAAAAAGAAAACATAATGAAGTGTCGATAGAGGTTAAGTTAAGAGCAATCCGTGAGATTGAAAAGGGATCTTCGATTTATGATATTTGCAATGAATTGAAAGTACATCATAATACTGTCAAGTCATGGCTAAAAAATAAGGAAAAATTCGTGAAGTGGTCTGCTGAGCGTGGTAATAATAAGCTGATGCCGAGAAGACGTTTAAGCCATGAAGACAATAAAAATGTCAATCATGCTATGTGGATTTGGTTTCAAGATAAACGTCAAGCGGGCGTTCCAATAAATGGACCTATGATCCAAGCTCAAGCTTTACGATTTAATTCAATATTTGGTGGAAATGAAGACTTTAAGGCAAGTAACGGGTGGTTACGCAGCTGGAAAGAAAGACACGGAATTCGTGCATTGACTATTTGTGGAGAAAAGTTATCTGCAAATATTGAGGCAACTGACCCTTTCAAAGAGAAATTTTTAAAGTTTGTTCAAGATAACAATTTATCATTTCATCAAGTATTCAATTGTGATGAAACTCGCCTCAATTTTAAAGCATTGCCAAAGACTACACTATCTTCCAGGTTACAAGAACCTCTATCTGGGTTAAAAAACAGCAAAATAGGATTCACAGTAATGGCATGTTCCAATGCTGCAGGCTCTTTTAAACTGCCACTAGTTTTTATTGGAACAGCCGCTCGTCCTCGTGCTTTAAAAAACTGCAATAATTTACCTGTAACATATTATTCTCAAAAAAAATCATGGATGACAAGACAGTTGTTTGCAACTTGGATTGAAAATGATTTTGTTCCTAAGGTCAAAGAATATTTACAATCTAATGGTCTACCTCTAAAAGCTTTATTGCTGATGGACAATTGCTCAGCACATAAAATTAATATTGAGGAACATGGAATTTTTATAATGTTTTTCCCTTCAAACACCACCTCGTTAATCCAACCTATGGATCAGGGATGTTTACAAAACTTGAAGTTATTGTACAAGAAGTATCTCATGGACTTTATTTTAGATTGCATTGAGAAAAACATAACCTTGAGTGATACTGTAGAAAGGATTACCATCAAAAATGCAATAGATTGGGCAGCTGGAGCTTGGGATCAAGTAACACAAAGTTGCATTTAAAAATCCTGGAATCAGGTAAATAAATTAATTTTGTACTTGTGTAGTATTTATACTTTTTATATGAAGCATTTGATAAATATCTTAAGTAATATTTTTTTTGCTTATATTAACATTTCTTATTAGGTATGGCCTTGGAATGATCGATTCAATGTATCCAATTTTGTGAATCAAGAACAGGTTATTTACAATTTATTGAAACAATTTCATACTGCTCTTCGAAGTTTATCAGAATACAGAAATGTAGATGTAAGTAATTTTGAAGAATGGTTAAAATCAACGCATCAAACACCATGTCTATCTGAAACCGATATCGTAGACATCATTTATGAAGAAAATGGAGAAGAGACAATGTCACATCAGGTTGAAGATAATAATGAACCTCAAGAATATAATGAACCTCAAGAAAAAGAGAACCAACCAATGCATGAAAATTATGAATTTAATTGTCATATGCCTGTCGAGATAGAGGTATCACAAGAAGTTACGAAAGAAGCAGCAGGATTATGTTTTAAACAATTAAAGAAGTGGTGCTATGATAATTATTATGAAGAAAGTCGAGATGCTCTTAATATTATTGAAAATTTCTTTCAATCACAATGTTTTAAATTTATTCTGTGTTAGTCATGAAAAAGAGTACAAATAATTTAAAATATTTATTTCTATTTATTTATAATCTCGATATAAAAAAAGTGATTTCGACTGAAAGTAAAATAAGAGTATCATATGAAAAGGATTTTTATATATTTCTACATAGAGAACGTTCCTAAAAAAAAGTAAAAAATTTAACTAATTGCAATTTTGTACTAGGTTCAGCTATTAATAAAAAAAATATAAGAAATTAGAAGTTAATTTTTTGTTTTATTATCTTCTTTTCGGTCATGCATTAATATTTTTCAGGTTATGTTCATTACAATCGAGAGAGATAGAGTTTTCTTTTTCTCTCTATTGTAAGTTAGTAGGGGAACTCCTGTAATCTGACTTCCAGGAAAAAATGGCACATTCACCGACAGATTACAGGAGTTTGACTGTACCCTTTTTTACCATGTATTGTATTTCCCGGCAAACCGCTTCGCGAATCTTAAAGGAACTGGATATGACTTTTTAACGATTGCACGATGATTGGTAAGTTTGATTTTATGGTGATAAACCTTTGTACAACCAGGTTTGTCAGAGAAAAGTGTACTATACTTAGTAATTAGATTCAAAACTAATTTGACCTGCTCCTGTTCAAGTCTCGTGAGCTTACCCGCGACGCTCTGCAAAGATTCCAGGAACGAGGAGTGCTCGCTTTTACCCCGATCAAATTGCTGATTCGATGTAAGAAGTTGTTTATAGTCCGAACTGATTTTAGATTTATGCGTAGACGCGTCACCATACGTGGTGGTACCATCCCCTATACTGGTGCGTTTCATATTAATACTCGACTGATTACACTCATCAGATCGTTCCTGTATATTTGATTTAACACAATTACATATTTCAATATAATCATTATCAGGACAATTATTTAATATAGCATTCGAGAACATAACGTTACACGTACCTTTTGATCCATCATCATTAATATCATTTCTACATAATAAATCATTAGGATTATCACATGTCAAATCAATGTTATTAGCAGGAATCAGCTCAGTATTATTATTAACCATTAAATTACTATCATTATTACTTATTAAATCAATATTGTAAAATAAGACTCAATAACAACTTCGGAAAATTAGTAAATAAATAAAAATGTTTATTAATGATTGACAGCAATTAATTAAAAGAAAGAATCCGTGCGGTCAACTCAAGTCACAGTCAAAAACTGGAGATAAACAAACTCTCCCCTCGTTGCTATGAACAATCTAATCGTCAAGCAAACGTCGTTAACTAACAAACTGTCGTTAGTCTAATAGTCATTAGATGGCGACATACAAATATTTAATACTTCTCCCGATCTTCTAAAAATTGCCACCTGGGAATTTCTATTAGTTGGGTAAAAATATTTGATTAGGCTGAAATAAAAAAACATAAAAAATCTAAAATTTTATTCCTAATTCGAAATTATGATAATCAAAATAATAATCATTCAGCCTAGATTCCAATATTGCCGCTTCCCAACTCTGTCTGCTTTAAAAATAAATAAAACAAATAATTAGGAGGGAAAAATCCTGCGGCGGGTAAAAACCTCCAAACAGACCAAAATGATCTAAATTAAACTAAAAACTTGATTCTATACAATAAAAAATTTCTTAAAAACTAATCGTCTGTTAGTCAAATTAAAAATTAAAACTTAAAATTCCCTTTCCATCCTTCTTTTTCATCAGGAGGAACCACTGGGAAGAACCAAAAGAACCCAAAGAGTAGGAAATGCCAAGAACTGGAAGGTCATGGAACTAAACAAAATAAAAGTTCCTCACAGAATCAAAGTTCTTTGAAAATTTCATTTTCAATCATAAATTCAATGTTCTATTAATAATTAGGTTGAATAGTCACATTTCATGGAGTCAATTCTCCAAATAAATTCCGGCTTCACATCCTTCTTTTAAATAAAAATCCGACTCTCAAATAAATGATTCAATATCATTAAAACAATCAATTCAATTCCACCTTGCGCAAGGCATTTTCAAAAATAAGTTCAATAGCTTTTGCTTACTGTGCAAACTAAATTATTAAAAATTGGGCTCACAGTTACGCATACTATCCGAACAAAAATATTAGGATAACATTGACGTCTAGTACCTCACTTTGCTTCACTTTGGCCAATAAATGAAGAAAAGGATTCCAGTACAATGACTCCAACCGTGTATATCCTACAGTAACTCCACGAGAACGCTCCAGGACAGACATTGTGAATTTAAATCAACAATCAAATGATCAATGAGAGCCAACATTCTCAGACTGGAAGTTACAACAACCCTGAATTCAACAGAAATCAGGAATCCAGAAAGAGTTAAATAACTGATCATCTTCATGAGGAGTGAGTCTATTTACATGAACAACTTTCAAACGACCATTCGGAATTTTATGAATTCGAAATACAACATCATTAAGTTTGTTTTTGATAATATAAGGACCTTCCCACTTACATTAAAGTTTTGGACACTTTCCTTTAACTCTTTTAGGGAAAAATAACCAAACCTTCTGACCGACATCAAAAGAAAGAACATTAGATTTCAAATCATACATATACTTAGGTTTTTTAGATTTGATTTGCAACTTCTCCCGTACATTATCATGAACAATCTTTGATTGTTCACGAAGATTAAAAACAAAACCAGTTATTGAATTATCCTCAAAAGAATTATCTGAAGGATTAATTCCTCTGAGAAGATCAATAGGCAACCTTAATTCACGACCTAACATCAACAAAGCTGGAGAATACCTAGTAGTTTCATGTTTTGAAGAACGATAAGCCAACAAAAATAAAGAAATCCACTTATCCCAATCTTTTTGATTCTTACTAATAAATTTGGACAAATATTGAAGAATAGTCCTATGCAACCTTTCAACTAAACCATTTGATTGAGGATAAAGAGGTGTGGTTCTTGTCTTCTCAATACCAAAAAGACTCATGACCTCCTTGAGAATTTCAGATTCAAATTCTCGACCCTGATCAGAATGAATTTCAATAGGAACACCATATCTACAAAATATTTGAGTTACTAAAGCCTCAGCAATAGTAGAAGCCTGATGATTAGGCAGAGGAATCGCCTTAGGCCATCTAGTAAAATAATCTGTAACAACAAGTAAAAATTTATTTCCAGAGGAGGTTTTAGTAAGAGGACCAAGAATATCAATGGCAATCCTTTCAAAAAGAGAACCAACATTATAAATTTGAAGTTGACCACAAGACTTTTTATGAGGACCCTTTTTAGCGAAACAAACTTTGCATTTTTTACACCAAATCTCAACATCTTGCTCAAGAGTTGCCCAGAAAAATCGTTGAAATCGTTTTATTAATACCAAAATGACCACCAGAAGGAGAATTATGAGCCTCATGAATTATTTCATTCACTTTAGCTCGAGGAATGACAACCTGAAAAATAATATGAGAAAGATTTGGAGCTTTCCAACGTTTAACTAAAACACCATTTTTCAATTCTAAAGAATTCCCATAAAGTAAATAAATTTTAAAAGTAGAATCCAAATGTGAAACATCATTGAACTCGGGAACTTCATTTTCCTTTTTGAATTTAATAATTAAACTTAAAATGTTATCATTATTTTGAAATTTGATCCAATCAGAATCATTATTAATTTCACAAATGACACGGAAAATATGCCTACTATCACATTTTTCATCAGAATCTATTTTCAGACATTTTTTACAATCACATGGACGCCGAGAAAGACCATCAGCATTGCAATGTTTATGACCAGGTCTATGTTGAACTTCGAAATCATATTGAAATAAGATTTAAAACCAACGAGCTATTTGATCTTGGGATTTTTGAAAGAAAGTAACCAAGTGAGAGAGGCATGATCAGTTCTAATAGTGAACCTCTTGCCAAGAAGAAAATCACGAAAATGTTCAACAGAAATAACAACAGCTAATAATTCTTTCCTCGTTCTCGATTATTTAAAGTCTTACTGAAGTAAGCAATAACTTTTTCTTCATAAACAGTCTCAACATTACTATTAACTGGAATCCTTTGAGATAGAACAGCACTAATGCCAATATTTGAAGCATCAGTATCAAGAATAAAAGGATAATTTGGATCAGGATCACCCAAAATTGGAGTAGAAGTCAAAATTTGTTTCAATTTTTGAAACGTTTAAAAAACTAAATCATCCCAAATAAAATCTTTCTTTTCCTGACTAATAAGATATCAAGGTTTTAAAATAGTAGCAAAATCTTTGACGAATTTCCTGTAATAAGAACAAAGACCTAGAAAACTTGTAAGTTCAGATTTATTCTTAGGAACAGGCCAATTAATAATAGCAGAAATTTTATCTGGAGAACTTTCCAGTCCTTCACCAGAAACTACATGTCCAAGGAAAATAACTTCTTTTTGGAAAAACATACATTTCTTAGGATTTATCTTAAGAGAAGCTTGTGAAAGTCTTTCAAAAACATTTTGAAGATAAATAAAATGTTCATTGAGACTTTTACTGAAAATGATAATATCATCCAAATAAACTAAACAAATTTTACCGAGAAGACCTTTCTCTTCTCTAGAAAAACTATATTCATAAGTTTAACGAAGGCAGCAGGAGCATTACACAAACCAAAAGAAAGAACCATAAATTGCCAAACCTCATTCCAAATACAAAAAGCAGTTTTAGATCTATCCTCCGGAGCAACTTCAACTTGCCAACATCCACTTTTTAAATCAACGGTAGAAAACCATTGAGCACCAAGAACCATATTCAATATGTCTTCTTCATGAGGAATTGGTGTTTAATCCTTAACTGTGACATCGTTTAATTTACGATAGTCAACACAAAATCTGATTTCATTACCTTTTTTTGGAAGAAGAACAACAGGAGAAGCCCAAGGACCGTTACATGGTTCTATTGCATTCTGTTGTTTCATTTTCTCCGTAACTGAATCAACTTTATCCCTATAATGTAAAGGAATACGACGAGGAGCCTGTTTAATAGGAAGTGCATTTCCAACATTAATTTTATGTTGTAAAATTTTGCACTTTCCTA